CATTGACAATTTCATCAAGAAAATTTCCAAGAAGTATGGAATTCTACGTTGATTGAAAAACGAACAAATCAATAATCTCTCCTCATCTAGACTTCTCCTACGGCATTTGAAAGGGCGTATGTTATTCTCAATAATTGGAAAAAAAATAGAGGTGTGTTAGTTTTTAAACTCGTTTAAAATCAATTTGATTTTTTCTTTCATATTTTTTACTATAATCAGGTATATCTTTTTTATTAGAAGAGCTACAGGCAACAACTTTTGCTATAAAACGTGCGTCTCTTGAAAATGACTTTCATGAGAAATTTTATATAAAAAAGTTATCGGCAAAAGATGGTTTTCACAGGACCATTCTAATGACATATTTAAATAAAATGTGCTAGTACATTTGTTTCAATGTTTGTTTAGGGTTAAAACGTAACGAAAAATTGTGAATTTTTGCTCAGTGTGTAAAAATATTGTTTATTTTGCCAACACACCTAAAAAAAAAGTGAGAAATTTCGAACGATTGGTCGGATCCAATGAGCTGGATTACCGAGGTGAAGCAATCGGTTAAGTTGTGTGAGTAAAACCCCTGTACGATACAAGCAATTAGTGACGTCACTACTTGCGTTTACGTTGATTTTTTGGATTACTAATTCAACCATATTTCACGATCTGCTGCACCTCTTTCTGTATCTCATTGGGTCGGATCAGCTTATCAACTCGCAGATTAATTCTGCGCAAATGATTTTCCGAAAAGTTGCCGTTTCGAGAATTGGCAAAAAGCGTGAAGTGCAGTAAATCTACAGTGTTCAAGATTGTTAAGAAGTTTGAAGAAACGTGTTCTCTTGAAGATTTACCGAAATCTGGGCGCAAAAAGGGGGAATCGGATCAGAAAAAGAGTACGCCTTTTGAAATCGCATAAACCGTGTTCCGTTCGTGAAATTGCCAAAAAAAAATTACATTAGCGTCGGAACTGTGCAGAATATCAAAAAACGTAACAATATCAGAACCTACAAGGAGCAAAAAGCACCCAAAAGGACGGATTCACAGAAAGATTCTTCGAAAATACGGGCGCGGAACTTGTATGACGTTCTCCTTCAAAAGCCGAACCGGTGCATTTTGATGGAAGACGAGACGTACGTCAAATTGTATACCAGTACACTTCCCGGGCCGCAATTTTTCAACGCTGAGCAGAGGACAGATGTGCCTGATGATGTGCGATACATCCGAACCAAAACATTTGGAAAAAAGGTTCTGGTGTGGCAAGCCATTTGCTCCTGTGGCTTGAAAAGTTCTTCTTATTTCACAACGGGCACAATCAATGGTGAAAATTACAGAAAAGAATGCATCAAAAAACGGCTTCTATCCATCTACCGAAAGCCTACGGATCCTCCATTGTTTTGGCTGGATCTGGCATCTGCTCACTACGCTTCTGCTACGTTGGAGATGCTCAATCAGGAAAAAGTCGATTATGTCGAAAAATTCCAAAATCCTCCAAACTGCTCTGAACTGCGTTCTATCGAAAGATACTGGACAATAATTAAACGGCATCTTAAGAAAGATGGAAGAGAAGCAAGCTCTGTTGACTGCTTCAAGAAAAATTGGTCTGCAGCACAAAGTTAAGAAGAAAGTTGTGCAGAATCTAATGGGCGGTATCAAGAGAAAAGTCCGAGCGTTCTTCAGAAATGAGAAGTAAACATTCAAACTCACGTGAAATATGTATGTTGATTTTCATTTATGTAAAGTAAACTTATGAATTTGTTCGAAAGAGACATGAGAAAAATGTGTTTACTTTCATTTATGAGCAGTCCTTGGTTGCTTTAAGATGGATGTCGGTTGAAGCAAAGTAAAGGGTGATACGGTCAAAATTTGGTCAAGGGAAAACGCGTGTAAATCGGTGAAATCGTTTATTTAAAAAATCAAATTAAATTTCTTTTTCAAGTTCAATTAGTATAAAATTCAGGAAAAATATTCAGTTAGACTTCCGCTTTTCCAAATCCGAATTGCCGGGCCTTACGCTTGACCCCTGCCATCAGATTTTGTACAGCCACCTTGTCCACCTTCTTCGCCGCAGAAAGCCAGTTTGCCTTGAACTGCTGCTCGCCCTTAGCAGTTTTTTTGGTCTTCTTTAGGTTCCGCTTGACAATAGCCCAGTATTTCTCAATTGGGCGGAGCTCTAGCGTGTTGGGAGGGTTCTTGTCCTTGGGAACCACCTGCACGTTGTTGGCGGCGTACCAGTCCATGGTCTTTTTACCGTAATGGCAAGATGCCAAATCCGGCCAAAACAGTACGGAACAACCGTGTTTCTTCAGGAAAGGCAGCAGACGTTTATTCAAACACTCTTTCACGTAAATTTCTTGGTTGACAGTCCCGGAAGCTATGAAAATGCTGCTTTTCAAGCCACAGGTACAGATGGCTTGCCAAACTAGATATTTCTTTGCGAACTTTGACAGTTTCATGTGCTTGAAAACAACTGCTACCTTTCCCCTTCCTTTTGCCGTATAAAACTCCTGTCCCGGAAGCTGCTTGTAGTCGGCTTTGACGTAGGTTTCGTCGTCCATTACCACGCAGTCAAACTTCGTCAGCATCGTCGTGTACAGCCTCCGGGATCGCGCTTTGGCCGTCGTATTTTGTTTATCATCGCGATTTGGAGTCACTACCTTCTTGTAAGTCGATAGTCCGGCTCGTTTTTTGGCTCGATGCACGGTTGTAGACGATACACCCAGCTTATTTGCGGCATCTCGGAGAGAGAGGTTAGGGTTTCGCTTGAAACTACCGGCAACTCTCTTTGTCGTCTCAGCGGCTTCCGGTTTTCGATTTCCCCCCGATCCAGACTTCCTGGCTGTCGACAAACGTTCCCCAAACACTTTAATTACATTTGTAACGGTTGATTTGGCAACTTTTAGCGATTTTGCCAACTTTGCGTGCGAGTAGCTCGGATTTTCGCGATGCGCGAGCAAAATTTTGATACGCTGCTCTTCTTGCTTGGACGGCATTTTGACAACTGAAGAGTGAATTCCAAAATCAAAATAGGAGCAACATTCTACACACACACACCTTCAAAATGAGGGGTGTTCAGGTTTTTTAAATGCAAAATTGAAAGAAATACGTCAAGTTGATATTGACCAAATTTTGACCGTATCACCCTTTATTGTATATTTGACTAAGGTTTTCTTTTTTAAAGTAGTTAACGATTTGCTCCTTCGATATTTGTGTGATCGAATTGTAAGAGGAAGTGTCTTAGATTTTTTGCCGAAATGGGCACCGCCGAGCAGCTCGGCACTAACAAACGGGAATTATGCCGAGTTCTCAGCTAACAAACATATGTTTAATCCATATCCATATCCATATCCATAAGTCCAGCAAAATAAAATGCCGAGCTGCTCGGTGGTGCCCATCTCGGCAAAAAAATCTAAATGTGTAGATATAATACTAGAAACGCGGATGAAATGAAAATTATGCATCTTGACGAAGTTTGTAAAGGATTATTTTGATTGAACAGCAGTCATAACGACTTTTGATAACTATTGTAGCACTGGTGGTGATGGATTTTAAATATTTGATTTAAAGGGTATTAAAAATTAATTATTTTGAGTAGTCTGCAAAGGTTTGAGCCTCGCGCGCGTATAACGAATATTTAACTGACTGAATTTAACATTTGATAAACAAAAAAAAATGGAACATTGAAGCTTATTTGGAAGATGCCATGATTTAGCAGTAAGTTTTCTGGCTGAGTTTCGGGATTGTCGGGGGTTCGTGAGCATTCCTAACGTGGCTGAAAATTACGATAGCATCAGATTGTGGGGTTGCTAGTGTATTAGAATGCTTTGTTGATTATTCATGAACTCTTGGTTGAGAATGCTTGTGAATATTTGAGGTGGACAAAAGGGAGAACAAAGAGGTGAACGCCTAAGCTTTTCACATTTAGGGGTAGATGGGGCAAGATGGTCTCCCAAAGTTGATATCATTTTGATATGTAATAATTGCAATTAATACATTCAAACATGGTCTAACCTAGTTCATAAATGTTCTGGCATCTACACATTGATACAATTCAATGTACCGTTTTAAAGTATATTCTAAATAAATAAAACAGCAAAAAAAGGTTATCTTCCATTTAATTCCACTTAATTAATTTTGGTATCCATGACAGATACGTATTTCGACTACAATGTGCAGTCTTCATCAGTGTCATTCCCACTAAAGAACTTATCAACATCTAACCCCCTTAAGTACTCATCTCCTAGGTAAAAAATTTAAGATCATAGGTACACACTTACTTTTTTCTACCGAGCTTGGCTGTGCAAATCTCGGCAAAATAAGTTTTACTGAGATCTCAGCACATTTCATTTGTTTGCTGAGATTCAGCTAAGCATTATCCGAGACTCAGCTATCAAATGTCACTTTTGCTGAGATCTCAGTGAAACTTATTTTGCCGAGATTTGCACAGCCGAGCTCGGTAGAAAAAACTAAGTGTATATAAAAATGAAACTACAATGTGTTGAATCAGAACCTACTTAACTAATAAAAACCAAAGATTTAAGTAAACTAAGGAGAAAAATCTATACAACTCTCTAATAAGGAAAATCCCAAAGGCTTGGTAGCCTTCATAATGAAGTAATGAAATTAGGTTGTTAGCGGAATGCTTAAATAAAACAACAAAAAAAAGGTTATCTTACTATCTTAAAGATAAATCGTTTAATTTATACCTTTGTATGGATAGCCGGTGGGGCCATCATCACCATCATAAAATGCACATCAATGGTTTAACTTTAAAAATAAAAAAATTGGATGATATCGAAGTAAAATGATTCACATACCAATACAACCTTAACAAAGAAAATCAATCAATGCAACCGACACAACTCTAATTCAGCGAAAAGTAAAATTTGCTATTTTTGACCCACATCTCCATATATTAACAATAAAATATTCACGAAAACCAGTTTAAGATTAAATATTTGCAGGTCCAGCTGAAATTCTTGCATTTCAATGCGGTTATATTTTATCTATTTCAGCGTTTCTTCCATACGGATACACGCGGAAAAACAGCATCAGCTCCTAATCGCCCTAAGCCCCAAGGTATCGGAATGTGTAGTTGATAAGTTTTATCATTAAATAAGTGCAATAAATATGTTGATGGTTGCAATCAATGTCTTTTCAAAACCCAATCGATCAGAAATCAAAGATTCGATCTCAGCAGCATGAAAGAACTATTGAGATACCGAAAGTGCCTATGCCTCGAAAACGAATAGCCAGCTCAAAACAAAAACCACCAATCAACGCCAAAGCGGACGAAGGAGGGCAGTTAGACAAGGTATGGTCTTGCACTACGGAACAGGTAGGGTAGGTGTTCCTATAGTGGCAGTATGGGGCGTTTCCCATACTTTTATACTATATATTTTTCAGATTCAATGTATTGGAGGAAATCAAATAAATTCTTAAATTTAACTGGAATTAATTCAGCGGTGATTTAGTACAGATACTGTAGGGGAATTTACGTATTCTCGTCAGTCTAAGCAGCGTCCGAACTTCTATTAGCGATTTCTCAGCGTCACACGCATACATGACAGGTTTGTTTGTTGACATTTATCTGCTGCTTGCTGTTCTACCAATTCCAATCGACAGAATTGATCAAAACGGGTTGAACATGTTTTTACAACGCTCCAAACTTCTCAGGTGAGTGTGACTATTGTCGGCAGTCTCTTTTTCTTCGGCACCCTTTCCATTTGAACTGCGTGTTAACTAGCTGTTCTATTATCGGCAACTCGAAATCAGCCGTATTTTGTAGTGTGTATATTTAATTTAAAGAAAAATATGGCATAACAGGATTGCACAGTCGTAAAAATGTAATCAGATTGAAGCTGAAAAGGTAAGGAATCGGCTTATTACATTCAGCGAAGAGTTTTGATGGGAAAATACAGTGAAATTAACGTTTCAATTTCGGTTGCCGAAAACAGTCAATGGGTGCCGAAGCCATAATTTACCATACTTCTTGTTTAGAAAACATTAAGTGAATCTAACATCACCTGGTTGGGTGCTACTACAGGACCAAGGTAACTATAAAGGGGCTGTTTATTAACTACGTAGATAATTTTTTGAGATTATTGACCCCCCCCCCCACGTAGAAAATAGTCCATATATTTTATTAAATTTGTATGGACCGTGGATAATTGTCGACCAGCCCCCCTAAACTGTCTACGTAGTTTATGAACAGCCTCTAACTATACAACTAAACAATTAGGCCACAACTATCTATTGGCGATTCGCTTTTGTAGCAGAAACGTGTTTTAAAAACGAACAACTCTACCATTTCTGACCTACCCACCCTATATAGGAATGCAAACAGAAAGAGAGGCCATTCGAACTTGACGAAATAGTGTAGCGACATTTAAGCCGAATGAATCTCACCGTAAGTGTATGGGTACTGGGGCATACAAGCGTGAGCATTATCAAATTTTATGAGCGAAACGGGTGATCCGCGCTAACGATGGTAGTAGCCAAAAATATCCGTTGCTTAGGGTGGCTGAATTCGAAACAACAAAAAGCTTCCAACATTGGTGCGAATTGGGAACTGATTTCTCTAGGATTCATGCATTAACAGACCTATCTTGTTTAAATAAAATACTAAAATAAGTCGTATCGATGTTTTTAGACCGATTATCGACAAGCGTACTACTAGGGAAATACATAAGAGACGAATTCTTGATTTCTTGTTTCTTGACGCCCCTCCCCCCTGCGTAGACAATTGTCCATACAAAAAAAGCTGATGAAGCATATGTTTGCCTGCGTAAGCTCTTATTGAGCTTTCAATGTTTGTTGGGATATGTGCGCTATGCAGAGATAATCCTCATAGAAGTGCAGACGCCGCTAAGATTCACGAAAATACCGATAATCCCCAATCATAATATCCTAAAGTTGTCCTTGCTCGCTTTCTACTCTCTATATATGCAATTTTCACACTGCCGTACTCTAACGGAACTATACTATCATCTTCTCATCTATCGTATAAAAATTACCACTTTAGTCTGTTGTTTGAAATTAGCATCTTCAAGCATGTAATCGCTGACTTCACGCAGAAGTAATATCAACAATCAATTCGAAACTAACGATTTTAAATTGGCTCACTACCTGAAGAGCCTATTGGTCCCAAGAAAATCGATTAAGGTACCCCATTCTAGTATACATTCCAGTACTACACTATGTTTGTTTTGATTCGCTATGAAAGTTTGACAGATAAAATGAGGGGTTCGAGGATTTTCCTATGTTTCGAGGGGTGCATCGATTAGCTTGGGACCAAAGATAGTACCAGAGCTTAGCCAAAAAGTTGAGGTCGTTTCTTCGGGACCTTCTGGTCTTAGAGTTACCTCTATGGTAATACCATAGAGGTAATTCTAAGACTAGAAGGTCCCGAAATAACGTGCTCAACTTTTTGGCTCAGCTCTGGTACTCTCTTCGGTCCCAAGCTAATCGATTCACCCCTCGAAACATAGGAAAATCCACTAACCCCTCATTTTATCTGTCAAACTTTCATAGCGAATCAAAACAAACATTGCGTAGTACTAGAATGTCGACTAGAAAGGGGTACGTTAATCGTTTGCTTGGGACCAATAGGCTAGTCAAGTAGTGAGCCAATTTAAAATCGTTAGTTTCGTATTGATTGTTGGTAATACTAAACATATAGGGGAATTTACGTATTCTCGGCAACCTAAGCAGCGACCTTCTTTCTATAGCCTTTTTCTCTATGGAACGCACACATATGCAGTATTGGTTTGTTTACAATCTTTTGCTGCCAGCTGCTCTAACAATTTCAGTCGAAAGAATTGTCAAAAACTGTTTTGAAACGCTTTTACATATATATAGTCTGTCATGCCGAAGCCGTCATTCCCCCTAGTAAAAAGCCTCTTCAAACGATAGATTTTCTGCCAGCGCAGTTCTCTGTTGTTCAGGACCCATGGTTGGATGTAAAGAGAGCTTCAACAGGCAAGTACCACGAAAATGTAGAGTTGCCTCTTCCTGATGTTTGCTTGTATTCCAGCGGTATCGTATGTAGCTTTCCACGACTCTACCCCATTTGGCATACAGTCGCTAAGCATTAAGTCGTTTGGCATAATGCCGTGAAAAAGTGTTATTCTAAATTGATCATTTTGTCAAGCTTCTGCATTCATGTTCCATCAGATGTCACAGCTGTTGTTTGCGGTGACATCTATCGGAAACTACACACGATCTGTTTTTCCTATAATTGTTCACAGAGGACACTGCAGTGCAAAACATGTCTGGTACCTCTATACATGCATTTACATTATTATTCGAAGTCCCTCCTTTTTTACACATTCTGCACACAAAATAGCTCACCCCTCACAGAATTTCCCGCCGAATTTTATGTATGGGGCGGAGCATAAAGTATCTTTTGCGCAGAATATGTAAAAAAAGAGGGACTTCAAATGTTAAAGCAAATGCATATATAGAGGTACCAGACATGTTTTGTAGTGTCAGGTACTCTATTTTGTAATCTGTGAAAGGGAAATCACAAATCGAGTGTCAACAAATTACATGGCATGTTGAGAGATTAAGGTCGTGAGAGCAAATTATCTCTCCCAAATTTGAATTTTTTGGCTCTCTGGTAGTAAATCGGGTAAAACTGCTATGCTAATATTTAGACAAATGGTTCAGCACCTTAATCGATTGTACATCCCTCCGAGCCAACATATTGTCTGTCGCAGTGGTGACTGGATTTTTGGGAATATTTTGAGTCGCACTTTGATGGTACGCTGACGAAAAACAACGAACTTTTTGGTTATTTCACGCCTAGAACGCTATTGAGTTTAACACATTTGGAAAGAAAAAAGGTGTACCATTTGAATTTAAACACGTCTCAAAATCATTTTCAATCTAATTCATACTTGGAAAACCATATAATTGTTCACAAATAAGTAATTTAGAATTGTTTGCAAAATCACAAATATTACAACAAATACGTGTTTCGAGTAGAATGCAATGAGAGTGTAAGATCTTGAAATCAAAACAACAACAAAAACCAAAACAGACACTTTGTTGTTGTTTTGATTCCGAACAAAAATCTGTCACTTTGACAACTCTATCTGTCATACGCATGGCCCGCACTTATTTCATCCCTGCACTTTCAAAGTCCAGTAAGGTGCAAAATGCGCAATATAGATATAAAATTTAATAAAATTGGGGGAAGCAGGGTAAAATCGACCATGACTTCAATTTTAGCCGAGGTCGTAGGGATTTTCAGAAGCGAAGCACTGGTCACTTCTTCCTTCCTTCGGAAGGGATCTTAAATAAGGGGTAGGTCACTCCGCACACCAATCTTGAGCCATCTTTTTTGTCAGTGTGCCGCAGGTGATAGAGCAAGCTGCGATTGTTTGTTAAATACCCATCCCAGGAACCCGGTATTTCTGACACCTTGAATGCTTTGGTTTGAAATTGCAAAGATTAGTCGGATTGCGGATGACGCAGGAAGTGGCGGGTGTGCGAAATTTTGATGTTTTGTGTTCCATAGGGTAATAAAAGTCCTGTTTTAGTGTTTTATAATGCCTTCACAAGCAGACAAGAAACCTACACCCAACCGCTGGATGTAAGATTCGCTTACAATTATGTGGGATTCATCATCAGAGGATGTAAGTGGAGACCGCATGAACCGAGGATGCGATATACCTAGCTGCGGTCCAATGGAGACCGAAAAATGTAGAGTGTATTACTGTATTATGTCGAAAAAAAATGTGAAAAAGGACTCGAAAACAACGAACGTTGCGATTATCAGACCTGTACTTTCTCCACTGCTCTCTCCATGCTTCTGAATAAGGATAATCTAAAAGCAAACAAGAAGCGCTCATTTCCTCTCACACTCGACTTCGTATGCTTTTCTGCTGGAGAGATTCGAGGCAAGGGTGTGCGTCGTTCTACCATGTTATACATAAAAATCCAGGCAAATGCTTGCTTGTGTAGGTGAAAGCACAGACAGAACACGAAATAAAAAAGGCAAAAAACCATTACATCGCCTGCAAGGTCAACTTCTAACATTTGCTGCGATGTTCATGAACAGAGGATGATACGAAATGGAAT